GGATGAGAGGAACCAAAAAGCTTTATTTTTTCTCAGCAAAAGCAAAATTGACTTAGACTAAGTAATATGAGAAATGGATTGGTTGGGGTGTGAGGAAGAGGAGGAAAGAACTAGGGAGGACATATTAGCAAGAAAAGTAAAAATCAGTGGAGAAGGGCAACGGAGGTGGTGGTGGTGGGGAGGGGTAAAAGGGAACCAACTGGTTTTGGGTTTAAGAGGAGATGGGGTGTCGGAGGGAGAAGATGAGCATTGATTGAATTTTGATTTTTTTTACTTCAAAGTTAATTTTGATTTATTTATTTTTATTTTTACTTCAAAGTTACCATTTTAAAATTGGTCAAAGTCAAATTTATTTGGTCAACTAATGATCAAACTAACAAAAATTCAACTATTTAGAACATAGGTGCTAATTTTTCAAAGGTTTGGGTTGTGGGTGGGACAATGTGAAGGTTAAGGTAAAGTTTGCGAAAAATTGAAATATTTGGACCGTTGTTGCAATTATCCCTATAATTAGTGACCTTATGTAATTGTTATGTGTTAGTTTAGAGGAAAAAAAATGTAAAATGAGTTATTATGATATCTTTAGGTTAAAATTTGTATTTTTTGTTTCAAACATATTTATAATATGGAGTAATAGTTAATTGACAAACCAATAGTAATAGCAATATGGCTTCCAATTAAGCAAATTTCATCAATTTGGAGATTGTAAGTCATGAAACACTGAAAATTGAAATTAAATTAAAGTTTGGTTACCCTTTATAAACTAAATTGAAGAGTAATGACCCAATTGAAATAAATTTTAAAGGAGTTGCCTAACTGATGAAACTAGGTTTAAGTATGAAATTATGGTATTATTTTTAATTTGAAAAATGATTGTTGTATATCACGATTCACATATTCTTTTACAAATTGATGAGGTGACAAAAAGAGAGGAAAAATGTTACTTTTTGAGTTGGTCAATGAAATTTTGATCAATCATTTATAGTCATAATTGACATCATATATTAATAAATAAATCCGTAAGTAGTGAAGAACTTATTGCACAATCGTTATGTTTTAACCCCAAAATATTAACAGTTTGGATCGAATATCCTTTAGAGGGTAAATTTTCATTCGTGATCTTCAAACTTTTAGAGAAATTTCAATTTGGTTATTAAACTTAATTTGTTCAAAGTCAAGTTGTTTCAAATTTCACTAATTTGTCATATTTTATCATCTGTTGTTCTATAAATTGATGGAATTGCTTTTGATTACTCAAATTAACTATATTATACATTATGTTAAAATTGATATTTTAAAAATATATATTAATAATAAAATGAGAGAATATTATAAGTGAGTGTTAAGAAAGTAAATAAAGAGCATAAAATAAAGAATTTATTGAAACGCATAAGGAAAATTAATCTTTAAATTTTAATTGCTCGTTATGATGATGAGATATTGCTTATTTCTCTCTATAAATAAAGATTATTTTGAAAATGCTCCAAGTAGATTACTTTTTCTTTCAATGTAGTAAGATGAGAAATGGAAATTGAAAATTTGCATAATTGGATCTCAACTACTGAGAAACCACAATATTGTCTCCAATCCTATATTTTTAAGAATTTAGTTCTCTTTTTGTTAACACATCAAACTTTTGACTTCAATGACATTCCATAATCCAAGATTATTCATAGAGTTCTCCTTTAAATATTATCAGTTAAAGCCATCAATATACAAAACTACAAATTTAATGTCATTTGGACAAACATTTTTGTATTGAAACAGTATGAATTTTACTCCATAGTTTCTTTGTTTGCAT